ACGTTCGCCCTCTCGGTCTGGGCAACATGTAATTAATTTTAATTTGCATGCCGTAATTGAACACAGACCAGAATTTATTGAAAAGAGCACAGAGAGCTCTGATAACGCTATATGGTGGCAAATGTATGTTAAAATATGATTAAAAAAAAAGTGAGCACAGGCCAGGAATAGAGCTCTTTTTTGCCTCGTGTCGCTCATCCACCAAAGGAGGAGATGAAAAAAGTACAATTAAATGACTTGCGGATGTGAGAAGAGATGAGATGAATCTCTCCTCTTATTTATTTTACAATTTTCTTGCATTTGCCATAAGCAGAGGGAGAACAGAAGACGCTAAACTGCCATAATAGCGCTGTGATGCCTTTTCTTACAGATTCCTCTCAAGCTCTGTTAATTTTGACGACGTGCTATTATCGCGGAGCTTTTTTTTGTGGATCAAGGCTGTGGACATTAAAAAGTGATGATGGATTTACTCTGAAACTCTTGGGGCTTTAAGAAGCTTCTGTTGATGCAATTTTCACTCGTCAGTTTGAGTGACTCAAATTAATGTGTAAAGTGTGGAGCTTTTGGCAAAAGCTCTGGCGGGCAATGCGGAAGATGAGCGTGTGGTCAGGTGTGGTGTGAAGCAGACGCACAGCGTGCGTGTCTCCCATGACACCCCCGAGGGAGGCATCTCCCGGCTCGTGTCTCGCCAGACTTCTCCAGTCTGGCGCGCGGCGGAGGCCCTGTGGCGTGTGCGCTGTCCTTGTCTTGCGCGACGGCCACCCTCACTTCGCGACACTCCGCGTTTGGCTACGAAAAGCGTGTGAGAGTGTATGCGAAAAGGCCATGAAAGAGAAGAAGACATCACCAAATGGCTGGTTTTGCTCCTCCGCACGGCCACGGAGTCTCTCCCCACTTTTGCGAGCAAAACTCTCCGACTGGTGAGACTCGCCGCCGTTCTGGCCCAGCTCAGTCTTCTCAGAACTTCTCGACCATTGAGACGGTTTTTGTCGCCCAGTTTGAAGAGCCACATTTTCCCCAAAAAAAAAACACACAGTCAGGACTTGCTGACGCTCCCGAACGCACACGGAGAGAGCTTTCCTCAATCACTGCAGCAAAACAGCAAACTTCCACAGCGTGGCCAATTCGCGTGCCTGTGTTGACTTAAGGCGAAGCTCTTGAAAGCCATCGCGCACCGGTTCATTGTTTTTGTCGTGTCCGCGAAGTGATTTGAGTGCAAATCCTCCAGAGAGTATCTTGTGTTGCTAAATAAGAAGCAAGACGCTTGTGCCCAAGGATTTCTCCTCATCTCCAGAGCTCTGGGAGAGTGTTTGGCGTGTTCAACGGCATTTTTGAAGGTTACTCCCATTCACATTTTCTCCATCGCGTACGACACAAAACGTGCAAAACGCCGCAATTCTATGCGGCCTCAGTGTAGGGGATAAAAAATCGATTTTTATGCTAATGCTTGCTTACATGAAAAATGAAAACTTCCCTCCGGGCGATCGCTTTTTTCCGTGCCGCTACGCTGGCTTTTTTTTCGCCGCCCAAAAACAAATTGCATCCAGTCGATTTTTCACCCCCAACTCATCCATCTCTGTCTGCATGAGACAATTGAGTGTCAGTCCTCGAGGGCGCCTTTTGCCACCCCCGTTGGTGCTCCATTCAAATGAGATCCCTCAGAGGAATGCCAACCCCACTTAATCACTTCTTAAAGAGCTCCAGCTCTTATCTGGGCGCCAGTGGGAAGGGAGAAGTCTTCCTTTGAGGGAGTGGGAGAAACTTAAAGCAAGGCAATTAGCGGGAATATTTCTTTCATGCCATTCAGAGGACTGAATTGTGTACTTCATAATCCCAAAGAGCAATTTCTATTGCTTCTCTAGAAGATGCAGAAGAAAGGTTAATTATCAATCATTAACATTTCAATAACAAATTTTCTAGTTCTCATTGAATTTATAAGGAAATATTTATTATTTCATGTGAAAAACATTTCTTCTTCCATTTGAATCTCCTTTGAAAATGTTTTTACGATGATACTTGATGAAGGCGTCGCTTAATAAACCAACATATTTGAATAATTCTTGGAGTTTGAAAATATCTTCAAGTGTTTGAGCAAAAGTTTCTCTCAAATTGAAATCGTGGCTTGAGCTTTAGGCAAATATACATGAAATAATGAGTATCGGATTATATAAACTTTCTGCGATTTTTCATCACTTTCCCTCGGAAAACTCGGGAATTGGTCCCCTTTTATCAGCAAAGCTCAATTGAGTTTTTGAGTGTGAGGGAAACTTTCGCTCCGTATAAATTAGGAGTGATTCTTAATTAAAATCATTCATAAATACTGAAAGAGATGACGTGCACAATTAATATAGATATTCGCAAAAGGAATGTGAGTGTGTGTGTGTGTGTTGGGGCATTTGTGGGAAAGTTATGCAGAAACTTATTTCCTCTCTGCGGTTCTGGCCACCCCCGCGCGAGGCCAAAGGCATGACGACACACCTCCTTTCGGCGAGGAGCTCTTAAATAATAAACTTTGGAACTCATTATATTCCAGCAATCTCCCATTGTATAAGAAAGGGCCGAGAGAGTATAAATTGTGTGTGGTTTTTTTTTATCCCGTGTGCCATTCCTTTTTGCCAATATTCTCCTTTCTTGCGCCTCTTTCGCCTCTTGCGGACTATTATTACTCCGTGTCTGGGACTTGTTCACCCTTTTTTGGCATGCCTCATTATCAATTAATCTTGGCGGAGCCTCTCGTCTTCGGTCGTTTTCGCTTTTGCGAAATACCCATTGGATAATTTATCAATGCTCTCCGGTTCAATCGTGCAATTTATTGATCCGAAAAAAAGCAAAAATCCTCTCACAGATTGGCTGAAAATCCCAAGTTCGCCACTGCAAGAAAATGTTGCGGTTGAACGCATCGCCCATAAGCCTCAATATTGGACCGTCTCCATGTACTTTGGAGAATTCATTGTTCTTGCACTGTACATTTTCTCCCCATATAGCAGTGAGTGTGTGTGTATATGGGAAAAGTTTTATGTGCTCTAGAGAGAATCCCAAAAGGAGGAGAGGAAGTAGCCCTGAGAGAGGAAATTTATGGTTTCTTGATTAAAGTTAAATTGGTAATTTTGACTAGGGGATGCAAGTCTCGCGAAGCTCCACTCGCTCTCGTCTCACTAAATCCAATTTCATCAGCATATTCATGGGAATTTTCTATTGACCCGGAGACTCTCGTGCTGAATTCTCATGTGCAATTCACTTCCTTTTGTTGCACCGTGTCCCATCCGACCTGGGCTATTGATCAGGGGGAGAATGTGGACTCTGTGTATATTGACGGCCCTAAAGGGGGGAAATTGATTCAATTCGCATGTCTCTGGGAGTAGAGAATGACGTTGAGCTTAATTGGAAAGCTCTCTTCGCACTCTATTGTCAGTTTAATCCTTGGTGGATTTTGTCATGTGCCACCATAGAGATAGAGTGAGACAGAGTAAGAGATCAGCATTAAAAGAACATTGCTAAGTGGCCACGAAGCTTAGCTTTCTGTGTGACATATCATAAATTGCTGAAGATCAATTTAACTATTCAGATATCCTTGAGAATAAGCCAGGAAGTTGCATTGAGAATTGTTATGAAAATTATGCAAACTGGAGCTGGAAAAACAACAGCTCATGATTCGCGTGTTAGAGATGTTTTGCTGAGTTGAGAAATTTGTGTATTCGCGGTGGAGAAATTTGGGTATTTTCAGTGTATAATGTTTGGGCACTTTATTTGCAATTATGGAAATTTCGGGGAGGTTTTGTTTAGGTAAACAAAAAGTCCATGGGCATCTCACCTCACCCTCAATCCCCAGGGATTTCTCGTGCTGACTTGTGCAAATACCTGACCTGGGAATTTTGCTCAAGACTTATGGCAGAAAATTTCTCTCACAATTTGCACTGTTGGTCGAAATTTGTGGTGAAAATCACTTAAGAATTGAGTTTTCTGTGGTGGGTTGAGGGAATAAAGTACCAAACAATGCAAAGTTTCATGGTTAAATCCAGAGAGTTGTAGGCAATTGATTGGGTGAGAGAAAAGCCGCCTGGACAGGGAGAAGAAAATTTACATTGAGGACCTAAACTAACATGTCTCGAAACAACAAAGAAAAGGGAGATAATAATATTTTTGCAGCCTGTCCAATCCTACGCAATTGTGTGTCTATGGGTAGCGAAATGGAAATTTGCCAGCAAAATAACAATTTCGCAGGGAGAGAGAAAGAAAGATTCTGTGAAGACCACTGAGTGATCAGTGAATTGGGTTCATAAGAAATGTTTTCTTGGATTCTCTGTTGCGGAAAATGTGGCCCTTTTTTGTGCCTCTCCAATGGTCGTTATTAAAGCTCTCTGAAATTGTTCAGACGAAGGAATTACCATTGAAATTAAGTGGAGATATTTTAATTTAAAGTCTCGTCACTCCTCTTGTTCTAATAACTCCTGACAAAGCCCCTCGAGAGTTTATGAGAGAGAGAAAGCAAATATATTTAGGTGTACCTCGACCTTCTCGAGGGGATTAAGGGATGAAGTGACTGAGCTTACGCGCTTCTTGTGCCCAATTAGTTGCTCTCGGACGGGGATTTTTCACTGTCCAAGTGAATCCCGAGCGGCTGTAAATCAGTGGTTGTGCGGGGATGAAAATGAAATTGAAGGTGGATGAAATGGATCAGTGGGGATGAGTGATAAATGGCGTCTGAAATTGCATAGGGGAAAGCGAATATGATAATTTGAATTATTGATAGAAATGTGAAAACTGTCATGGAGACAATTAATGCATTTTCTAATCTTCACAATGTATTTCTATTGAGCTTTCTGAAAGCTGTAATATCCCTTAACTAAAATACGTCATACTTGATCAAATGAGTGTCATAAATTTTCATTTTGTGCCGCAGTCAGAGAGCGTCAGGCATGACAAATTGCCTCCTCCTTTCCAAATGTAATGCCCAACTATTAGGCATATTTCACTGAGCCTTTGTGCGCTTTTCTTTGCAGAGTGTTCGCGGTCGGAAGGCACTCAAGTTCGGGGCGGTGATTTCACCACGTCCGCAGCCACCCACGTCCTCCATCAGCCCAGCACCGGCAGCCGTGCCCCAGCCGTCGCCAAACACCACCACCGCGTCCACGACCAACCAGCTCGTGGTCGTGTCCGGGAGTGCAGGAGGAGGCGTCGTGAATCCGCCCGTGGTGGCCCAGGCGCAGCACAATCAGCAGAACCAGCCGCAGCAGCAGGCCGTGTCGGCAGGAGGAACCACAGTACAAACCATGAAGGATCAACCGCAACAGCCCATGGTGAGTGTCTCCCGCACAATTCATATTCTCTGACCTCCGCCGTGACACGACGGGGAAATGCAATCAAAAACTTTGTGGACCACGAAGCCGGGCGAAATTCATAGTGAAAGGAGAGACCTCAATTGTTCTGCATAGCAGTTGGTGGATATATAAAAAGTGCCCTTTTTGAGCGCTCCAAGGGAGCAGCGACAGGATTGGAATAAAAATTGTGCACAAGAGAAAAAGCTCACAGGGATAATAGAGGCGAAGCTCCTCTTGGAAATGCGAGTGGCGTATATAAAAGTGGATAAAACTAATCGAAAAACTTTGCAAATATTGAGATTCAATTTAATTTCCGTCTCAGAGAGAGAGTTGGCAGAAAAGTTTTCGCAAAGCCGCCGCATCGTGGGAGGGTGGTTTTCATTAAAATCCATATACGGCGCGTCATTGTGCACAAGGGATGATGAAAGCTCACACGCATCGAGAGTGTAACATGAAAGGCGCCTTGTGAAAAGCTCCGTCTCTCGTGTCTCTTGCAAGTTGGCTCTTAATTGAAACCACTCAAGGGATTGCAGGCTCTTCTCGAGTGGCGCTGATGGCCAAATAGACACACACTCTGGTGGAGAGCCTGTGAGAAGTGCAGCGGGTTGAATTAGAAGGGGATCAAAGGGACACACATTCTGGCCAAGAGATCAGGGTGAGAAGCAGATTGCAGATGCGATCAGAGGCTAATTAAAGACGGTAACCGAGTTGGTGACTTGATCTGTTTAGGGATAATCTTATCAAGGCCGAAAGCTCTCTCTCACTGGGACGCGAGGGTGTCGCTGGAGGGTGAATTTTGGTCGTCCCGCATCGACACACTCGGCGGTGTAAATTGCTCTTTGGCCAGCGCCAAAACAGCTAAATTGGCAGTGGAGCTGCCTGGTAGTCTGTCTGGCGGTGTAAATTGAAATTAACCACGTGTCGGTGAGATTTTCATCCACCCACGGACGCCCTGTGACCCCCAGCGAAAACTCCATCCCCAAGGGTCGTCTCGCGCTCGCCTGCATCTTTTTGCGCAAAGCAATTGCGCACCTTCGATCTAGAATTACATACATTACATACATTTGGGGGGAGAGGCGGAGGAGCGCCTCGGCGAAAAAACTATGCTGCGAGTCGAGGGGTGGAGAGAGGGGTTGTTTTCAGCACAAGAGAAACTGGGGATTTCGGCCGGTTTTCGTCTCGCTGTTGGCGGAGTTCGAGAGGAGAGCAAATGTTGAGGGTGGGTTTTTCAATTAAGTTTCTTTTTTCTTTCACGGATGCACATTCCTTTAAAATGCTAATTAGTTTGGGTGTGAAAGAAGAAAAGGGCCGTTTTTGTGCTTTAAGAATTGCGCGCGAGTGTATTTGAGGGAGAACTTTAATGGGGAAGTGTTGCAAAAGAATTGCGCGTCCGTTTTGTATTGATTTTAGGGCCACTATTTTCCGACACTCTGCTTTCATCCTAGTTTTTTTTTCTCGGGCTGCGCTGCTACTCCCTTGGTGAGGGATGGAACTACCCCCCCCCCCCCAGAACTATGGGAGTTGTGCCGCCCGTATTGATGGGGTTGAATTGGGTAATAGATATTGAGTGGAGAGATGTGTGTTGGTGAGCTTGATTGAATTCTGTTGGTTTTTCTCCCGAGAATTTCTCGGGGAAATAGCGTGGAAATTTATTCAGCACAGAGATCCAGGCGAAGCTTATGACTGTGGCGTTTGCAGATGATGATGAAAATGAAATATTTGGTTATAATTTCCTATGTAAGCAGAAACTTTTTGAAATTGCCAATAGTCTGGAGGCAGCGATTGGGTACATATATATGAGGAGATTTCCAACCATCACAAGCTCTCTCTCTCTCTTTCGCCCCATTGTCGCAACTACAGCGAGGCGATATAGGAAGATATAGTCAATTTCGCCTTGAGGCAAAAGCGCTAGAAGCTGCTATGGAACTCCGCAGCCACCAGTACAAGACATTAAATATGCAAAATACACATTCGCCAGCACATTTTGTGTTTACACACTTACCATTCCTTGCCGATGGGCGGTGGGAGAGAGAGTCGAAGCTCTCTTGCAGTGGAGGAACTGAGAATGCGTCCAATTAAAATTTTATAATGGAATTATGGGTGGTGAAATCAAATTAAAACCACAGTCACTCTGGCGAAAGAGAGTGAAAAACCAAGGAATCTCTTTGAATTTGTGCTATTTACATCGTGAGCTTCGCGCCCCAGTAATTTTCTTCAAACTCTTGGGGAAGCTTTTTGGCCATTCGAAATCCACAAAAGCTTGCGGTGAGAAATTTAGATGTGAAATTTCCTGGCATCTTTCCACTCGCTGGCTACTTTTCACATCCTGAGTGCCAATCCAGTGGCGTAGCGGCTGAATATTGTTTCACTGCGAATTGTGCAAAATCCTGGCACGCCAGATGCTCCACTACGCCAATGTTATGGTCGAGATTTTCCTCGGCAAGGCCTGGGAATTTATGAAATAATGATGAAACGGGATGCACCATTTTCCCGCCAATATTTCCTCGGGAGAAAAGCCATCATAAATCAGACTAAGAGCTCCCCATTTCTTCTCGCGCGCCCCATTTGTGTGTGTGTGGCGTTTTTGTGGGGTGGAATTTATGAAAATCTGCGAGAAAAATGCACCGAATTTATGGCTCTAATGAAAATTAAGAAGTACTTTGGTGGCCAAAACTATACAAAGTTTGCTCGTATGTCGGAGGGGGGAAATTGGGTGATTTTTCTGAGCCACCTGGCGCCTCCACGAGAGAGAGTCTGAGGGTGAGCGGCATTAGTGCCGAGGGCGGCCAATGAAATATCACTCCCTTACTTTAAGGCAGTGGACAGGTGAAATAAATGGATATTAATGGGTCTGATATATATTTCCAAGCTCGTTTTTTTCCCCCACCCTCTTGTCCGTGGAATGTCGAGGCTCCTCGTTGGCAATTAGAGAGTGGAACACTGATGGCAGCAAATCAATGTGAATTCGCTTTTCCGTTTTTCCCCAATTTGTACTGTGATATTTTTGATCGAATTTCTCCATCATTAGACCATCATTTTTTGCGGTCTGTGTGAAGTTGAGACTTTGCAGAAAGACGACCAACAATGCACAATTACCTGAATGTCTCACAATTTCCAATTACAGAGACTATTGTCTCTGTAGAGCAGAAGATATTGGATATCTTCTCAGTGGCGCAATATTGGCATCTGGGAAAATTGAATAAATTGGAGGAATAAGAAAGTGTCTTCTGTTGCAGGCTCCGATGGCCTTCTACCCCACTTGGCAGGCGGATCCTTCGCAAGGTTGGCAGAATCAATTTATTCAGCAAATACCGCAAAACAGTCCGGCAATAACTCCGCTCAACACTATTGAATTCCAACCGCAGGTGAGGTTTTCTGGTCAAGGGGAGAATGTGTGGCAACATTTGAATTCAATCACTGTCTTGCAGAGCTACACATACCAGCCAAATGGCTATGTGCAGACTGGAATCGGCTTCGATCCCAGCTACGGTCGAACCTACGCCACTCCTGTGCAGAGATATGAGTTCCAGGCCAACCAGATTGCGCCGATTAATCAGGTGTCGCTGCAGAGTGTCAGCTTCGCGCCCAGCGTGACGTACGCTGGCCAGGTGTCTGCGGGCCCCAGTCCCGTGCTGCTGGCCAGTCCGCATCCCACCCAGAACACGGTGGCGAAGGATGTGTCGGGAAACGAACTGCCTGGATATCCGCGGGTGAACAGCGTGCCGCCGCGCTCACTCAACTGTAACGGGTATTCAGGCGACTTTAGCGGCAGCACGTCAGGAGCGCAGAGCAGCCAGGCTGGCCAGATGCACTTCAGCCAGCAAGGCAGCAGTTCCATGCACCCTCCGCAAGTGCCACAGTCCCCCAATCGCGGCGCCCAGATGCAGATGCCGCACAACAGTCCGTCTGGAGCGGTGCCGCAGTCGCCCAACCACCATCTGGGCTATTCCCAGCATCCGGGCATGAGTCCGGCCATGCAGCAGTCGCCCAATCAGTCAAATGGCAACTCCATGAGCACCATGTCGCCGCAGCACAGCGAGTGGGGCTGGAGCAGCCCGGCCAATCCGCCCGGCAGTGACATGTTCAACCAGTCGGATCGGGTGAATCTCAACACGAGGTTGAAAACGATGATCCTGAGCAAGGGCGACGCGAAGGAAGGCGGCCAGATGCCACAGGGCGGCAGCAGTGCTGGAGCCAACGGTGGCCAATCCTCACAGACCGGTCATTTTTTATCGTATAGCCACCATCTCCGGGACGGCGTTAGTTTAACTGACGACAACAGGTGTCCGCCAGCGGAGCCTGTCGGGGGTGGTGGCGAAACGGGCTGGAAGGCCCCCAAAGTGGAGGACTTCCAGCGACAGGATGCTCTATTGGCGGCCCCTTTCGGGCCGCACAGCGCTGAGAAGAGTTTAGGCGATCCTGCCGAGGATGCGCTGAAGATGCCAAAAGTGGCAAGCAGGAAGAAGGAGGAGAAAACACGAAAAGACTTCAACTACCCAAATTATGGCGATCTCAGCTACACGAACACCTTCTATCCGCCGTCATTTGACGGCACTCACGGGGCATTTCATCAGCCTGGAGCGAGTGCCAGGATCAAGGAGAAGCCGCCCAGTATTAAGCAAGAGCCCACGGAGACGCTGCAAAATCCAGCGGCTCAAGTGAAGCTGGAGGGATATGAGAGGAATTACCAGAACTTCATCAAGTACGCTGACTATTGTGACCAGAAGCAGCCGGTCCAGGAGTTTCCTAGCTACACTCAACCGTACTACTCTTCAGATCCTCTCTTTCCCACGCCAACCTATCCCAACTACCCAACCTACACGCCGCAGAACACCACGGATTTCTCCGTGGCGGGCTTTTCGGGACCTCCCGGCGAGTCCGCGAAGAGTGAATTGCCGTGTCAGACGAACTTTGAGAAGGAGATTCCAGCTCACACATACCACATTCCGACCAGAACACATCTCGATGCGCATCCGCATTGCAGTCCTGAGAATGTGGACATGAAGAAGTTGGCTGGATATCCGTTTCTGGGCGAAGGAGGACCAGCCGCCATCAAGGATCCGTCGGGATTCTCGTGTTGTCGCAAAGGCAGCACAGCTGTTCCCACATCTGAACACTTGAAGGATGGCTCGTGTGTGGGTCTGCAGACGAAGGATGAGGTGTGTTTTCTGCTGTGAAATTATCGCCAAGGCGGTGTTAATGTAATGTGGTTTTTGTGATCACTTCCAGATCATCCTGGAGGGCGAGGAGAAGGAGGAAGAAGCGCCTCCGGTGGTGAAGGAGGAGGAACCTCCGCCACCAGTGGATCGGACGGAGAAGAACACGAAGCCCGAAGTGCCTGACTGTGACTGTTTCCCATCGGACAAGACTCCTCCGGAGCCTGGCAGCTACTATACTCATCTGGGAGCGGCGGCCACACTGTCGGACCTCCGCAGCGACATGGAGGCGAGAATTGGTGTGTCCGGAAGGCAGCTGAGAATTGAGAAGATCATCTACACGGGCAAAGAGGGGAAGACGAGTCAGGGCTGTCCACTGGCCAAGTGGATCATCCGACGAGCTGATCCCGAGGAGAAGATCTTGTGTGTGGTTAAGAGGCGACAGGGGCATCGGTAAGCTGGTCAGGTTATTTTTCATTTTATACACACTTTAACACCTTTTTCTTATCCAAAAAGAACACAAACAGACTGTCTTGAGAAATTCCTCACAATCTTTCACCACACTTCTTGCCACTTACTTTTGCAACAACCCCAGGTTTTATGTGTAAAAGCACATGACTGGAAAATTCCCATGAGCGAGTGTGACTAATTTGGTATAACAGTGAGGTGATTTATTTCTGCACAGGTGCCAGGCGTCCTTTATTGTGGTGTGCATCGTAGCGTGGGACGGGATTCCCACCCATGAGGCTGACAGTGTGTACAAAATGTTGATTCATAAGCTCAATAAATTCGGATTACCCACAACGAGGCGCTGCGCCACAAATGAGAATCGAACATGTGCTTGTCAAGGTGAGGGATTTAAGTCTTCTACTGTGTGTGAAAAATCATCCCTTTTTTCCGCTGCGAATCCCAACTGCGCACGGATAATCCCATTAGAAAGATAAACAGACTTCAAGCCTTTTTTCCCTGCTTGTGTTTGCCAACACTTAACGATTTTTCTTCTCTATCTCTCTCTTGATTCAGGACTGGACCCGGAGACTTGCGGGGCGTCTTACAGCTTTGGGTGCTCCTGGTCGATGTACTACAACGGCTGCAAGTATGCCAGATCGAAGACGGTGCGCAAGTTCAGGCTGTCTGTGAAGACGGAAGAGGCGGAGATTGAGGAGCGAATGAACATTCTGGCCACAATGCTTGGGCCGCTGTACGTGATGACCACGCCGAAGGCCTTCGAGAATCAGTGCAAGTATGAGCGCGAGGCGCCGGACTGTCGACTGGGATTGAAGCAGGGAAAGCCCTTCTCCGGCGTCACGGCGTGCATGGACTTCTGCGCGCATGCGCATCGGGATCTGCACAACATGCAGGACGGATGCACTGTCCAGGTGGCTCTGCTGAAGCAACGACCGCCCGGCGTTCCGCCATCCTCTGCCGATGATGAGCAGCTTCATGTGCTTCCGCTGTACGTGATGGACACGACGGATGAGTTTGGCAGTGCCGATGGACAGAAGGACAAGAACAAGAGTGGTGCAGTTCAGGTCCTCGAGAAGTGAGTCCTTGGACAATCTCAAGAGCCATTTGAATAGTGTGGATTAACTTTGATTTCTTTATTCAACAGATTTCCCTGTGAAGTTCGCATCCGATCGACTCCGCTGCAGCCTTGTCGGCGGCACGGAAAGAAGCGGAATGGCAAGGATGTGGGTCCAGAGGAGGTGCCAGATCCACCGCCGCCGCCGGTCAATCAGGGGCCGACGAAGAAGGAGAGTGGCAAAGTGACCAAAGGCAAGGGCGCCGGCGAGAAGGGAAACAGTGGGAAGAATGCTCAGCCACCGGCTTCGTGTCAGTCGCCGAGATCTTCAACGCCTGGCAATGTGGGTGTGTCGACGCCACAGAGCGGAAGCAGTGCCTTCTCGGCTCCCGTGAATTCCATGATGAACTCCAACAGCAGTCTCCTGAACATGGCCTCAATGATAGACAACTTCACCGACGCCCAGCTGCAGAGTAATCAGATATCCAGCACAGTCCTGGACTCGCCCTACTCCTATGACTACAACACAGGATCCTACATAGACTCGCGCAACTACTACGGCCAGTGGCCGGAGTATGGCGGCTACAGCGACAGGAGTGAGCAAGTGAAGAGCAGAGGCAGTGAGGAGAATCCCGACTCGACAACACTGCCCAGTTCAGGATCGTCCGCCTTCAGTCCCAGCGTTCCGGCGGAGCCAAAGGCGCCCACGTGCGCCATGGAGGAGTACAAGGAGACGGGATTCGTGAAGCCCAAAGCCCCGGACTATCCGCCATCGTATGGATATCCTCATCCCAACACTTACTCCATGTATCCGCCCTACTCGCCCTACGATCACTACCAGAACATTGACTACTACGGCAACGAGAAGTTGCGGTACAACTTCGGATACCCGCAGGTATGCTCAATGAGTCTAGAGATGAGCCAGAGCGTGTGCTGATCAGTGTCCTTTCCTTCACAGACTCCTTACCATCACTACAACATGTACCCCAACCCAGCGCCGCCTCCGCCCCCGGCAGCGCCTCCATCGGCCCCCAATTGGTGCATGTATCCGCCGCAGACGTCATCGCTGGCGCCGCCGCCGATGATGATGCCGCCCAAGGCGGAGATCGTGCCCAAGCCGGAACCTATTGGTGAAGTGGCGGAAATCAACGACAACTTGGAGTGCTTCCAGGACTCCCAGATGGGCGGCGTGGCCATCGCGCTGGGCCACGGAAGTGTGCTGTTCGAGTGTGCCAAGCACGAGATGCACGCCACGACGGCACTGCGGCGTCCCAATCGGCTCAATCCCACCCGAATCACGCTCATCTTCTACCAGCATCGCAACCTGAACAGGCCCAAGCACGGCACGGAAGAGTGGGAGGAGAAGATGCGTCAGAAGAAGCAGAATGCGGCCGAGGAGGCGCGCGGCGGCGCTGCGCCAGAGGGCGGCGTGGGTGGTGTGGTGAAGCAGGAGCCCAGGGAGCATCAGGGCAAAGGTGAGCAGCCCGAGGAGGCGAAGGGAGGACGCAAGGGCTCCAAGTCCAAGATGGCCATGCGCGCACCCACGCTCACGACCACGTCGTGGACCACGCAATTCCCCATGCATCCGTGCGTGGTCACGGGGCCGTACCAGGAGCCCGGCGCGCCCAGTCCCGTGGCCGGCGCGGCGGCCACCACTTGATCAATCGAGAACTTCGAGAAGCTGATTGAGGCTTTCTGAACGCGACGCGATGTGGACACAATCGATGCCTGAAGTACAAAAGGAACAAATCTTGTTAACATACTTTCTTTCGACACTCCGATATCTTGCCATGCAGACACTCTGCATCCTTTTTCTTCCTGCTTTACGACGATCCAGGATCTCAAGCATCTCTTCTGAAAAAAAAAAAAAATTTTGCGCTCTTGTACAAAGTAGAGAAAAACTTCGAGTAGCGCGCGCGCTTTTTTGTCTTTTCAATTTTTTTGTGTACTTTAAGGATGATTTCATTTTAATAAAAAGAAAAAAAAGCTCCATCTTGCCGTCAAGCGAAGTTCTGGAGTCAATTTTTGCATTTCTTAAGAACATCAGTTTGTTAAATATCATTTTTTCTCTTCGCAGCATCAATTTTATGTGTGGAAAGTTTTCAAAACTGTCCAATGGATTGAAAATTTTAGTTATTCAAAAAACATTCTGCAAACTTATGAAAATTCTAGTCCAAATGCTTGATAGTTTTCTTACAAATGAATGATTCTTACAAATTAAATTTGCAAAATTGATTTACAAAAAAAGCCAGCAAAAACACTTCAGAACTCTCGCTTGAATGGCATTATTAAGAAAGTTTTGTCGTTAGAGATTAAAGTCTCTAATTAAAAAAAAATTCTTTAGTGAGTAAAATATGATAATTTTAGTTCGGATTAGCGAAAATGGTGTAAGAGTTAATTTTTTAGTGTGAGAGGAAGTTAGAATGCAAAGAAGCCAAAAATTTACATCAATCTTAAACTATCGAACTTATTGGCCATATAATCCATGTTTTGTGTGTTGTTTTTTTTTATTTGTCTTAAAGTAAGGAAAAGATCATTATTAATTTTATTAATTGTGTACACAATAATTTTGATTTAATAATTCTCAAATTTTTTTTGTATTAAGTCTATCTTTGATCCTCTTTTTAGCGCTATTTATTCATTTTTTTTTGTAATACGTTTCGATGTGACAAATTTATTTATATATATATATTAAATGAAATTGAAATTAAATGTTTTTTATAAAGCAATTTCTCAATGCCATACTGTAGAAATTTAAACAAAAAAAATGTAGGTGAAAAACTAATTGTGAAGAAAGGAATCGATTAGATCAAAAAACTAAAAGTAAACAAATATGAGAAATACTCAAATGAAAATCAACCCAGAGAAAATTTACAAGAATAGAAAACTATTCTTAATCCAGTCAAATTCTAAAATTCTCCCCAACAGAAGTGAAAGAAGAAAATTAACACGTCTGCTTTCTTTGGACTGTGAACAAAATAGCTGATCATTTATGCATGAGTAAAAGCGACAATTAAAGAACTTTAAGAGAAAAACAAATAGAGACTGTTAAAAATTTGGGATGGAAAATTCAAAGTGTGTGAGAGAGAGAGAAAAGCGTAAGAATCCAAAAAGAAAAGAAGCCGAAAAGGAGAAGCATTGGAAAATTGTGGGAAAGAGAGAAGAATATTTTGTGAATGAAAAAACTTAATAAAAGTATTTGAAGTAAACTATTAATATGTAATAAATTTTAAGATGTAATAAACTTCTATCAATGATTATGAAGAAATGAATAGTGAAGTGGAGGGGAAACAAAATGAAATACAGTAATGATTTTTATTGATAATTAAATATATATATATATATATATATATAAAGAGGATAACGTGAAATATAGTGCTAGAATTTAAATATTAGAAATATATATTTCTGATGAGAGAAAAACTTAGGATATTTAATAAAAAGGAGTAAATAAAAAGAGAAAAAAAAACATGAGAATGAGTAAAGAAAGTAATAATGAATGAGGAAAATAGTGTTTGAAGATATTTAAAAGAAAAAAAGAAGTAATATTATTGAAGGAAAAAAAATAGCATTACCATGAATATGAAGAGATGAGAAAAGACATGAAATTTATCCATTCCGAGTGTATTTCATTTTATTTTCTTATAGAAATTATTAATACTATGACTTTTCCCTTTGACTTTTGCGTAACTCCTCTAAAAAAAAATAAAGAAAATAAACACAAGAATAATATGAAAAATGAAGGCAATCAACAAGAAAATATTAGGAGTTATTAGAAAGACGATGAAACATAGAGAAAAAAAGAGAATAAAATAAGTGCAAGTGATAGAAATAAAATCATATCCTTTTTGAGAACGAAAGCAAATTTAATAGTGAGAGAAGTGGAAGAAGAAGAAAAATCATCCTTTCCCATTTTCATTCATTCACCCTTCATTCATCCGATCATTTTATATTTTGTATAAATGAAAGACTATCGACATTGATGGCATTAAAATGAAAAAAAGCGACGGCATCCCAGTGACTAAGTATATTAAATTTAATAATTTATTATTAATCATAGAGAGTATTATCGTAATGTCTTTTTACCTTTGTAAATAAATCTTTTTTAACTTATTTAATCGACAAGAAAATGTCCTTCGCATTATTTTTACTCTTCCAAGAACAAGAAAAAAACAAGAAAAATTATTGACTTACCATCAAAGAGATTTAAGAATTTAAAAAGAGAAATGAAATTATATTATTGCCGAAGAAGCAGTCTTTTTTTTAGGAATAAAAGAAGGAGATAAATGAGAAGAAATTGATGAGATAATGAGAGAAATAGCAATAAAAGAAGAATCATCATATTTTTATACATCACATCATTCTTCATCTGCACCCAATTTGTAGTAATTTTAATAAGTTTACCATTTTTTCTGTGTATTATTGAGGAAAAAAAAGAAAACATAGAGGATAAGTTCAGAAAGAAGAAAACTGTGTAGTTCTCAGTTGGAAAACCGCATTTGCAGACAATTATTTTATAAAAATAAATTTAATATTTGAGAAACCGACTTTTTTCCCCCTTGAGAAACCACAAGAAAACACATTCTAGTTAATTACTAAAACAGTGGATTTTATTACATATAATCTTGGCAAAATAAATCCTTTGAAAAGAACAACACAGAGCGGGGAATAATCTGTGAGGGGCGAAGGGATTCCGGGCGCTCACCCGGAAGCATTGTTGAGACTAGAGCACCTCGTTGTGAAGTATTGAAGCGCCTTCAGGGCATCACTTGGATGAATTGTGGGCGGCTGAGGAGCCAAAGTCGCAGGAAATTGTGGGAATACTCTGTCCCTGCTTCGTGAATCCCTTGTAATCCGGCGCGATTGGCTTCAGCGGCGACGGCAGGAGGATTTCATTTGGCGAATTCCCACCATCAATGATGCTTCGCTGCATTTCGCTGGAAGCGCATTGTTCTGAGAGTTTCAAGTCTTTGGGTGGCGGCATTTCGTCCACCTCTCTGGCCAGAAGTGGATCGAACTCCTCCAGATCCGACCTGGAGACCGGCAGAGAGCATCTCACGTCCACAGCCGCGTCCTCAGCCACACTATTCTCAGCACTGTTGTCGGAAAAGTCGAAATCATAGTTGATATTCGTGAGTCCGTGGCTGAAGTCAATGGGCACGAAGTCATCGGGCGTCGCCAGGCCGTCCAGGGAGTTCACATCGAAGGATGAGTAGCCGAAGATGGGCGATGCCGAGAGAAGATCTGTGGAATTGCTGGCACTTATGGTTCCCAACATTCCCTCATCTTTGGTCGTCGTCGTCGTCGTCGTCGTCGTCTCGAGAGTGTCTGTGAGATTTCTGGCCAGTGTTTCCAATTCTGGCTGCTCAGCCTTGTCCAGAATCTCTTCCACACTGGCCAAAGGAATCCCCGACACTGTCTCCACTTTCAACTTTGGCGCCTGAGCGTCCTCCAGCTTCAGCGCTGACACAAGATTCGCCTGAAAGTGACCTCCAGACGCATAATCCACAGGATTCGGAACACTCTTGCGATTCTCACACAAATTCTGTCGCGAATGGATGGGCTTCAGCACGAGAGGAGTTCGACTTATCACTTCAGACACCTTCCGTGAGATCTCATTCTGCAAAGATAAAGCGAAAATCAGTAAAGAAATCCAATTTTGAGCACAAAATCCACACCTTGAAGTCATCCATGTCCCTGTTCATGGCCTCAATGCCATCCTGAAGGTCCTCGTTCCTCTTCCTGAGGTCCGCCATGATCTTCATATTGTCCGAGATGAGATTGAGACTTTCACAGGCCAGCAAGGCGCTCTCCCACGCCGAATTGCACATCTTCTCGCCCGACATCAACTCCCGGAACTCATCGTCCGCCATCGACAGCGACTCCGCCGTGAGATTCTCAATAAACGAGATGGCACAGCAGAGATTTGTGAAGTAATATCCCCCTTCGCCGCTCATCAGGCGACTCGCGTTGCTAAATCGCGTGATGTAGTTGATATTACTGTGCAGACGCGCCGGATTGGCTTTTAGCACCACGAAAATCAGCGCCGGCAGGAATTCATCGGCACTGGCGGGGCCCCCATTGCCCGTGTGCTTCAGCAGATTGAAGATGTTGCGACAGCAGCGCACGATGCACTCCAACTTCTCCTGTGGCGACTGGAAGCTGTCCATCGCCACGAGTTCCGTGATTGCACTGTAGACGAGATCTCTCACCTCTGCGTTCACTTCGTCAATGGTGCAGAGGAGGTGCTTCGCATTGATCCAGCTTAGCTGGCGGATGCGTGACTGAATGGCGGAGTCCTTTTCCTCATCGTTGGTGAACGGAGGCGAGAAGAGAATCCTGAAAAGGGAGAGAAACAATCAATGCCTTGTCGTCGGCTTTTTGGACTTTTCTCTTCTCTCAAACTCACTTGTGATTCCTCGTCATGACGCACTTCTCGAAGAAATCCAGCATCTCCTCCTTCTGCTCAGGCGTCGTGCCCTCAAAGGGTGATCCCTCGATGGCCATGTAGTCAGACATCTTAATGTAGCTGGTCTGGACGCTGTCGCTGATCTTCTCCACATTGTAGCTAGTGTACTTCTTGTGGATCAGCTGATCGAACATCTGGATCAAGTACTTCAGCTCCTTCTTCGTCTCATCCGCCAGCTTGAGCTGCTTCAGCGCCTCCGCGTACTCCAACTCCGCCTTGTCCAGCGGATGAACCTTCGCGTGTTGCCTCTTCTCCGCGCTCTCCTTTGCATTGGGTGACTTCTTGAACACTTCCAAGATGTTCCGCTTCTTCAGCTTATCATGCGCGGGCGGATGTGACGACGGCACGGGTGCTGGTTGACGCGACAAGTGAGGATGTCTATTGACCTCTGACGCACTCCGGATGCCCGGAAAGTGATGTTTTGCTGTGAAAATACAACAAAATCCCCTGAAATCTCTGCTCTCGCGAAGAGTTCACGACTTTCTACCTTTGCTGGGTCCCTTGGAATTCCTATCTCGATAGCACTTTGAGCACAATCCATCCCATTGGGCATTTCCTGGGCGGGAGAGAGAGAAAGAGAAAATCGCAGGGAAACTCTCAATGTCAGGGAAAGTTTCTTCTTCGTCTGACTCACCATAAAATCCACACCCATTTCGGCACTCCAAATCACTCTTATCTATCCGGAGAGTTGGTGTCTTCATCAGATACATCCTTGCAGATCACCTGGATTCTCCTTTTTGGTCTTTAGCACGCAAAATCTCACAGAAACATCACATAAAAAGCAGCACACAGTATTATTATTTTCCAAATTTGACGGCACGACTGACTGCGGCGCCACATAGCGGAAATAATCAGGAGTATTGAGTGAGTGTAATTTACGTAATTTATTAATTTTCAAGCAATAAAGACGCAAAAGAATTATTTTCGGCCTAATCACAATATTTTATGTTCAATAATTTATTGCTGTTTTATTTATTCATGTGAGAATTTTGCTTAAAGTAATTTTTTACACCGTGAACTTCTTTCAACCATCAGCGCCAACTTGTGGGAATTCGGTGACATCATTTTCGCAAATCGAAACGTCACGGGAAAAATCATGGTTGCAAGAAAATTGTTAGTGTGTCTGGATGAGAAAATGTGCAATTCTAATTGATTCTGTGGCTGGGCGTGATGTTTTCCGATTGATATCACACCCTCGCTTTGTGTTAAATCCGCAACATTTGGTGTAAATAGGTGTTTTTGCTGGCTTTTCTCTGCACACAACAGCTTCTCACCCACGAAATCGTGATTGTGACTTTTCCGCCGTCATTTCCACGGGAACGTCCTCAAAGTGAGTGCTCACTTGAGGGTTCTCGCAGTGCTGGGCCTCGCAGTGGGTGGAGAACAGCGTGGTGCTGAAGCCTGAGATGTGCCAGTGAGTTGCCCAATGGCGGAGTCACTCGTTGCCGACTGGATTGCTGACTACTCATCGCTGGACGCATCTGAGATCCGGACGTTCGCTGCCCAGCATGAGCACAACCACGAGATCTCCAGCGCCCTGTTCAGCATCCTCAATGAGAGGCACAAATACTCTGACGTGAGTTTCCATAAGATCACTTTTGAAGATGTTGCTCAAGGTCTCTGACTTTTTGCTAACATCGCAGGTGATTTCACTCTAATGACACGCTCTGAAGCATTAATTGGGGCTCTGATGAGGTAATCACTATTCGAAGAGTGATTGAGGATTTATGGGTGAAAAACCAGACAAATTGATTGGAAAGGAAATGCAAATGATGCGGAAGTTTTCCAGTATTTAGTGCTTAACAGTTTTGAGTTTGTCCTTCTCTTAATTTCCTTTCGTCAAGGCTTTAAAATCGAGCTGTTGAGTCACAGTGAAAGCTAATGAAACACTCTCTTCTTGTCCTCTCTTTTCAGTTGTTGCATTCAATATGCAATCAATTCTACAGCTTTTACAAGTCCAGCGAGACAGAATTGCGCCGATTCACGCTGCAATTTGTGCCGATTCTCATTTACAACTACCTGAACGCCGTGTCGCAGGGCGACAAGAAGAGCTGTCGCAGCGTGGAGATGCTCTTGCTGGTGATTTACAACATCGAGATCAGCAATGAAGACGGTCAGCCGCGCGTCGTGTCATTCCGCATGCCAGTATTAGCTCAGGCCTCGATTTACCACGAGGAGAAGAGTCTGCACGCCACGGATCTGCGCCGGTGGGAGGAGAACTGCAACAGGGACGTGTCGTGGGGCCCCATGCCCGAGCTGGAGCACCTCAATGCCCAGAACCGTCTCAGAGTGATGACGGCGCTCATGTTTGTCTACAATCAGCAGCTGAGCCAGATCCAGAAGCCGGCGCTCTATCATCTGTGCCGGACGGCGTCGCAGCTCGTGAATCAGGGCTTCTCGCGCGTGGGTCACGCGCACAGGGCGTCCTATGGCACCGACCCGAACGCCACGGTGGCCATGCGACCGCTGCCGAGGATCCCAGTGTCGGGGGCGTTCCTCCTGGAGCTTCTGCAAGCCGTGTATTTTGCCATGTTCAATGAATTCGCCTCGGTGGCCATCCAGACAATCGAGGACATTCACAACAGGGCGTGCTTCGAAATGTTTCCCGACACCATTCTAGTCACAAATGCAGTGAAGAATTCTCTGCATGTCAATCCCTCCGGTGAGTTTTCTGTTTTCTCCTTCTCGCTAGACTTTGGAATTGCTGCTTATCTGCGCTTATCAGGCGGCAGATATGCAGCAATAATTTGTATTATAGGGACTTATCAAAAGACGGTCGGTGTATTAATTATGTCGAGAGATATTTTGGCTCTAGATTTTCCCGTGATAATCCGTGAAAACTATGGAAAGTCGAAATCTAGCTTTATGATCGCTGCGAGGTTTGCTAAATTTTCCTCAAGACGCTCAAAACATCTTTCAATCGATCATTATAGTGCTAAAATTGAACTCTAATAAGTATTTTCTGAATTTCTTCAGTAGCTTTTATTGGTATTAAATAGAATTTTTGACTGAAATATGACAAAGTTAATAGAAAAACTGAAAATATTACTTGTAAAAGTCGATTTTAATTATTTTTCAGCGCATTTTGTCCAAACAAGCTCTAAAAAATCAACTTTTCATATTTTGCATGAACTTTTCTCTAAAGTTTTTAGGTGGAAAAATTCAAAGATATGACAAATATTGTTTTCATTCAAAGTCTAAGAATATTTTAGGAAAATGACTGCAATTTTTGAGAGAATTTTCTTAGAAAAAAATGTACGTTGCGTAAAAGATGATCGATCTTTGCATATATTTTAAATTCTTTTAACACTTATGTTTTGCCAAGAATATATAAGACGCAAACGGTGAAAAATCGACTTTTTGTACCTTTCAATTCACCCGTCGAATTGAGAAATAATGTTTAAGTTATATTGATTGATTGCATGAAGGCAAATAATGAGGCTTTAAATTTAGTTTATTGACGTCAAAACTGTCTTTAATCACTTCACTTTCTTGGAAATGCATAATGACGATGAGGCAACAATTCAAAGTGCAATCACACAATAGAGATAATTATGATAATGATGACAATATTGTGTGGCATTTTGTGTCTCACGTTTCTAACGTGTCTAATTGGGCGAAAAGACCGACATTCGCGCCTCATTAAAGTGTTTACGCAGAAATTTCATCTCACCTTCTCTTTAATCAATTACCGAACTTTTTATTTTCAAACGATGTCCTTCACACTGTCTTGCGATGCGAATATTTGACTCATCCAGTGTTTCTCTCTCTCTCTCTTTCCTGTGGCTTTAAAGGTCAACCCAGCGATGGTCCAATGGGAATTAGTGTGGCGCTCACGCCATCGCAAACCACCGTGACTGTGTCCAAGAGTATGATAACAAATGCCTCGTTTAGAGCGAAGAAGCTTCCAGGTAAGTCATTTCTGGTGACAGTTCATTGAATATCGCTCATTGAATTTGCAATAATCGACGGAATTATGAAAATTCTTAGGTGTAAATCCAAAAAAAAAAAAAGTAATTTGACATGACAAAATTATGATGTGCATTAGGCGCAAAACAAGAAAACTCTCCCTCTCGATGTGTGTTTTCTTGAAGAAAAAAAACAACCATTTTCTTGTTTCTTATTGTACATTGTGTGTGTTTTCTTGGTGTGTTTTTTCTTTCACTGAGGACGATTTTCTTCCACATCTTGTGAACCCACAATTGCGACGTGTGGAATGTTGTGGCGAGAAAACCCTCAAAAATCTTATTGATACTGCATGTGATTGCATCCCACTTTTTTATGTGCATTCTTCTTTTGGGTGTTTTTCTCTCTCTATCAGCATTTCTTGTGAATGTGTGTGCGCGCGCTTTATCCAGGTATTGGATGATGATCCCTATCAATGGCAGGAATCTTGTAATTTCCATCCTTTTGCTTGCATGCTGTGCGTATGAGGAATTTAAGTCATCTTCTCTGGCTTTGACCTCTGGCCGAAGGACTTTGAGAAAAGGACAAACTTGTGAAGCATCTTTATTTTGCTTTGCTGCCGATTTTTTTTGTTGAACTTTTACTTTTTCTCCACACAGAACGCTTCGAATTTATCTCTTTTAGCCTTTTAGTCGTGTAAATTATTCTATAAATAGATAGAAATATTTCTTCTTGCACAAAAGAAGGCCTTTTGTACCAGAAAATAAAATGTTGCTGGAAACGCAATGACGAGGCGGGTTAAAATAAGAAGAAAAATTGGCTCATGAAGGAGATGAAATGATGAGCAGAATATAAGAAGAAAGAATGGGGGAAAAAAATGTGGAAGATCAATAATTGACTTGAGATTATGATTTCAAAGTGTGTTTATTTCTTTGCGGTTTTTCACGACGACAACAACAGTGGGTGGGTGGGTTTTTAGATGAGAAAGAGGAAAGACGGAGGGAAAATTTCTTATTTTCATGCGTTAGACATTCACATTAAATGATTTTCTACTTGGATAAATGTCACGTTGTCGTGGCACCTTCTGCTACGCTGCTGCTGCTGCTGGCTTATATTCATATAATATTCTCTTCTCTCACTGCGAGATCATCACACAAATACACTCTTCTATCGCTCCTTTTTTTATTCTTGCCTAAATTATCCTCTAAATAAGTTGAAAATCCAATTGTGCTGGTAAAAGAACATATTATATTTGAGTGCTTCAGCCTTTACAAATCACAGTTTATTTCCCAGTTTTTTTTTTCTTTTTTTGGTCACGCGAACAGAAAAAGGAATTACAAAGTGTTGGAGTGCAAGAGTTGAGATGATATCTTTTTCATGTTTTCTAATTATCTTGTGATTTTTTATATTGATGAAAGGACATTTTAAAGTTCGTTGTAACTTTACATTCATACCATTTCTAATAAGCTGTCATAAATGTGATTTTACTAATAAGTGTTGCAAGAACGCTTAAAGACAAGTAAAGCCGGAATATTCACGTTGAAACCTAGGAAATAGACAATCATGATGTTTTTATTGGATTTTTCTCGCCATTTGAGCACTTTTCAATCCACCAACTTGAGATTATGTGTTTCAGAACATCGACTGACCTTTTTCAAGGAAACTAATTGTTTTCCCAACACATTTCACGCGTACATGTCGTGACACGCACGAAAATGCGGCTGTGCTAAAATGTCAGAACGAAAACATCTTCCTGAACAATCTGGAAACGCGTCCAATGTGTTCTTTTGACACATTGGACTTCTTCACGTTGAAAACATTCCTCAGTAATAGTCGAAAACTCCTAGAAGTTTCTTGAGGAACCCGGAAAAATGCGCTTCATTTACACACTGAAGAACATTTGTTAACTTCCTCGTGGTGCAAAATGGCCAGAAATTGTACGAAAATCACCCTAAAAACACCAACAAAAGAAGCTATGAAGAAATGGCTTTTTACAGCTGTAATTCGTATTAAATAAACTCATAATTTCATAAACGTAAAGTTGCAACGAGTGAAAAATCATCTGGAGTTTTGCACAATTTCCGCCACATTCTGTATTTTCCTTTGGAACTTGTTTTTTTGAAATGTACAATCACGAGTTGATAACACACATAATAACAATTTTTATTTGCAACAATAGACATTTAAAATGCGTTACAGACTTCTTGTGCAGTTGCTGCTGCCGTTTTAATTCGCTGTATCACTATTATTCCTAATAATTATGATGTTTCTCTTCTTGACTTGAAAGCTAAAAAAAATCAATCACAAAATATGTGTTAATGCAAACAAATACACACTCTTACACAAAGTACAGAACACACACACAGATATTTACGTATAAGAGAAAATAAAACACACATTCTAGAGAGCAAGAAAATAGGAGGTGCATAAAGTAAAGTAAAGTAAAATTGTTGTGAGTGAAGAAAGGAGAGGAGAAATTGAGCTTAAATTGAAATTGAATTGTGAATTTATTGCGAATCGTGCGTTCGATTCCAATTCAGATGATCTCGAAGTGGTGGAGGATTTAATGGTGGCATCGGGTCAGCCAGCACGAGGATTTCAGCCTACGCAGCCACAGGGTGACAATGTGCCTTACGATGTGACGAATGGGGGGAGCCCGAAGGGGGCGCGCAAGGCCTCGACGAAGCGCTGGCGAACGTGGGGCTGGAAGTACAATCCTGGCGGCAAGTCGATGAGTATTGAGGAGGAGCCGGAGTCGCCGAGAAAGTCCGCATCGTCGTCCAGGCACTCCAGTCCGAAGGATTCGCCGTCCAGGACGCGCAATGGATCGCCGAGTGCGTCACCGGTGCGCCGGAAGAAGACACCATCGCCCAGGGATTCGCCCACGAGGCGGGCGGAAGTGCGTGCAAGTGCCGGAGCGCGTCTGTATCAGGCCATTGAGGATAGGAACCAATTGCTGGACGACTCGGGTGATGAGTTGCAGGCTCTGCTGGACTCCATGCAGAGTCTGAAGCACAGTGTGCGTCCGGCGAGTGTGCACGTGGGTCAGTCCAACAGTGGATTGCTGAAGTAGAAGAAGTAGGAAGAGGTGGAGATGAGATGCGACGTAGAAAGTGTCTTGCAGACACACACGAGGCTCACATGAAAAGCTCGATAGATTTTCTCCAGAGTCATCAGTGTGCAATTAGGGCGGATGACGAAGGGGAGATCGACAGTGGGTGGCGGCCGGAGATATGCTAATGAGTGCCATTGTCACGCAAATTCATTTAGAGAGAGAGAGTGAGAGGCGAGATCGATTAGAGGATGATTTCACAATTGGCCACCGTGAGGATTTCGGGGGTCTGGCGTACATCCTGAACAAAATCACCCTTACGGGATATTGTCTCACATTTCACTCTGTTACGCTTCAGAGTCTCTCATTTAATTGTTCTGCAAAATGTCGCAAAGTCATGCAAGAGTGCTGAAGTTGATTCATTGCCTTTAATTTGTCCACATTAAAAGAAAATGCTCAAACTGTCAACGAAGATAACAACATCAATTATTGTGTGAATCGCATCTTTTCACTTTGATTTTACCTCGAAGAGCAATTTTTCTGCAAGACGATGAACATATTCTCGGTTTAATTGATATTATTATATTTTATAATTACTTATTGGATACTGTGGATATTTTTTTTTTCTTTAATTAATCAGCAAAAGCATCGATTGATGTCGTCTGTGACATAATTGATGGACTTGAAGTCGAGATGAGAGAGAGAGAATGAGAGACTCTGATTATATTCCGAGCCAGTGAATATGAGACACGTGCTTTAAAGGAATCTCTTTTTACGCAGAAAATTTACCCAAAATCACACTTTGTTTCCTTTTTAAAGAGTTTTTTGCATTTTTTGCCATTGTAGAATCGATTTCTCTCTAAATGAGTGATTTTTAGAGCAAATTGGATGTAAATAATCCCGCAAAGTGTTCGAATACTATGGAATTTAATTGTGTAATAAAGGGAGGTTTTTTCTTTCCACATTCTTTATCTTTAAATTTATTGACTAATAAAATGAATTTTCTTTGAATGATTTTGAAAATGTAAATAAAATAAGATATAATATGACTTTTTTCTTTGGTTTGTAAAGCATGACAAGATGATTTCTTATTACTGTGAATGGTGATTAAGAGAATTTATGCGTCTCTTCGTGTTGATAAGAATTTCTTTTCCGTTTTCTTTCATTCATTTCCTGGAGAGTCACATTCATCGATGATAGTGAGCATGAAAAGAGAGATGTTTATGGAATTGTACAGAAATTCACTGTCTATTTAATAACATTTTGCAGTAATTATTCATTGAAATGACTACAGAATAGTGACATTATGGAATGCATGGTGTTTTCTTGCTTCTTCTCTGTGTGTGTGCGAATGTGGAACAATATGTTGCAAATGCAACATATTGATTAGCTATATTGTCAGCACAGCGTGGGTGTGCGGGGTCTTTCACCAGCACGGATTATTCCAGGATTAAAATTGTGTGGACGAGAAAGTGGAGGTGAGAAGGAGAGCGTGAATGATGAGCGAATGCAAATAACGAAATCTCAATGACGCTTCGTATGCACGTGTTATGGTCAAATGATTACGAGGAGAAGGATAAATGAAAGGTGTGAATTTGATGAAAATGACTCTGACATTGACCCGTTCAGTCTCTCTAAATTGAATTATATTATTGACATTTGAATGGAATTGTCATCTTTATGTCTACGACGATGAAATGCCAGATTAATTGTCTCTCTCCTCGAGGGGTTGTTAATATTGATTTTGAATGCTTCAGCATCTGTCGTCTCGAAGAAAGCTCCGTTCCTCAGATTTAGATCTTAGAAATTACATTCAAAATGACGCAGTCGAGAATTCTGTGCGGAATTTTAGAGAAAAAGAGTGGAAAATGAGGGAGAATAATATATTTTAGGTATGAAATTGTCTGTTTGGGGGAAGTTTTAGATCTGAAAATAGATTTTAGGGCATTTATAGAATTATTTCAACGAGTTTGGAGATCATTTGAAGACTTGAAAAAGGAATTATATATTGTTTTTAATCTTTTGGGGGTAGAAAAAGAATTTTGCGGGTAGGTTTATGAATAATTTGGAACGATTAAAGGACACTTTATGGTTTTTCTCTCTACTCTTAACAACAGATTTTCGTTAGTATTACCAAAGATTCTCTTATGTGCACAAATTAGGAGGTTTTTCCACTTTCACACTGGTTTTATCGTAAAATCTTTGCGTAGTACCGTAAATATCCGATTAAAGATCAAGAATTTCAGCAATTGGTGTTTGTATACTTTTCAGCTAAAAAAAAATGCACAATTATTTCATAAGTAACAAAGAAAGAGACAACAAGATGAAATAATTATTTCTTTTATCGAAAACAACCGCAAAAACGCTGTAAATAGGCCAAAGATTCAGGAAGAAGGAAACAAAAGTGACACTGCATCCCCAATATTAGCAACCCCTTGTCTTTTCCCTGTGAAACTCATGTTGCAGACAAAGTGGATGCTTTGAAGGCATTTCCATGACTCCAACAAGCATGAGAAGATTATAATTGGTCAGGAAGTGGAGAGAGAGAGAGAGCAACAATATGGAGAGAAATCTAATTTACACTGCAATTTAGTTTGTTGGATATGAATTTGACCTCAAATTGAAATTGAAATTATTTTGGCCTAGTTTTGTTCCACATTTCCATCATTTGGTGGAAAATTCTCTAAATTTCCACACATTCAAGGATTTTTCACTTTATCAACAAAACGTGTCGATTTAGCAACACTTTGAAATTGAAAAATCCTTGACGGCGGCATTTTATGAAAAGAAATGCGTTCGACATTTTTGCAATGAACTTTTATGTGAGATTGATTGAAAGATGTCGTTATAAATTTAATGTGTCACTTAAAATACCATCAAACAATTGCACTTTCGCATCGACAATTGCGTGGGTTAATTCTGCAAGTGCGATTTGATGTTATTGCACCCCCGGATTAGCACGGAAAGGGGGTGTGTGTGTTTGTGTGTCGTTTTCTCTCCCGCAATACGTTGAACTGGGGTTTGTCCCAATTAATTTATATGATTGTGTTTTTGTACATTTCACAGCATTTGACACACTTTTCTCCCTTCTCCTCCAAGTTCTGACCTGAGTTAGAGTGGATGAAACTCAATGATGACGTTGGAATTAGTTTTAGGTCACAACCATTATAGGCTTGAGTGATTCAACATCTCAACATAACATATTTGCACTTTAGTTGACCTGGAAGGGCTTCAATTGTGGCGCTTTTCCAAGAAATTATTTATCGATACAGCCAAGCGAGAGAATAAATATTCGGCACAATTGCCAATAATTGATTTGTCATTGTCAAAACTCATTTTTCTGGTGAAATAATTGAGTGGATTTTCCCAAAGAATAGTTTTACAATGTCTTGAACGAATTTTACGAGATGATTTTGCAATATTTGTCTCTGTTGCATTACTTACAATAATATTTTCCTGCTGGCGTGTTTGCAAGGTAAACAAATGGTTAAATGACAGAAGCGAGACTATCAGATTGTTTGCCGAAGGATATTTTGATGGAAAGCGCAGATTTTGAGCAAAAAATGATGTAAGCTGATGTGATGAAGTCCTCGTAAGCCATAATGTATTGGGCGTAGCAAAGCTCGCTCTATTGTTGCATACAGAATGAGGTCATTTCTGGTGATCCACTCTCTTGCCGTGGGTTGATTAAGTCTGGTCAGGTGACGTGGTCGTTCCACGTGTTGGCGATTTAACAAATCTACCAGTGATGCTGGCTTAGTGTCGCGTGCGTGTCTGTGCGTGGTTGCGGTGAACACAGGATGCATTTATCAAATGGTGGCAGTTTTCTTTTGCCTTTTTCTATTCATTAGAAAATGCTAAAGTGTGTGTGAGTGTTGAGAATGGTCTGACGTTGTTTTTTGTCTTGTTTTGCTGCAAAATCTTTTTTGATTTGTATGAAAATTGTGCCCGTTTGTCTCTGAACAATGCTCTGAACAATTTGACACAATGCAAATCGAGGCGAGGGATTATGTTTTAGCACGACAAGAGCAGAAAGAAAGACAAACAAACGAACAATTGTTTTGCAGACGACATACCAATTCAGGCACCCAAAGACGAGGGTGGAGCTGCAGTGGCGGCCAGTGCGGGTCTTGTCAGTATCACTGAGGAGTCACCTGAGGGTGGTGAGCCACAGTTGAGTCGCGGCTCGGCGGTCAGGAGTAGCAATCCCAAGAGTCACAAGGTTCCCTTTGCCGCGGGCTTCAAGAAGCTGAAGGAGAAGGATAAGGATAAGGACAAGGAGGTCGGCTCGAAGGCGGTGACGAAGAATGGATCGGTGGAGCTGAAGGAGGTGCAGCAGCCGTCGAAAAAGTCTGCCCTCAAGGAGAAGATTGCCAGTGCCCGGAATGCGTCGCTGCACATTGTGCAGTTCGGCGACACGACGACTGATGGGGACAAGAGCCCGAATCTGGCCACGAGGACCAAGAGTCTCGCGGCTGAGGTGGGAAATGGACCCGTGGAGGGCGTGATGACCAACGGTGGGGATGCAAAGGCCGAGACGATAGTGAGCGATAGTCTGGAGAACACGGAATCGGTGGATTCGGGCACAGACATGACCATGGCTTCCTCCTCAGCACCCTCCATTGAGGCCAAAATGCAAATAAGTCAAGTGTAAAGTAGTTCAGCACATTCTGCAGAGATGGTTTTGGAGGGAGTGCGAAGAGCAGAAGTCGGTTGTCTTTGATAGCGAAGCGAAGGTTCTAAGAACGGCCAAAGATTGGGTCTTTTTCACACCAACACAGCAAATTGACAATAATTTGGATTTTATCTCATATGTTTTGGCCGCGATTCAAGTGGGGATTTTGTTAAGCTTTAAGAAGTTTAAATTTTATCTTCTATTTCCACGGTATTTTTTTTCATGTGTTGGTAAATAAAATATAAATTCATGAAGAGATTTGACATGAAAATAAGCTTTTCGCGCGGTGATTTTGAATTTCCAATATTGACATAAATAAGGAAGAAAAGATGCTCTAAATCATCCCGCGACGGATGTATTTTCATGCTAATCACTGTTTCTTTTGTTGTTTGGATGAAAGAAATCAATCGGACGAACAATGAATAAGCAATGCATGCAATGAAGAATAAATTTTGCAGAAGAGTGTGAAGATTAAATAGATGATGTATTTAGTATTTGTATTATAACCTGTTGAATATTTATCCTCCCTATTTAGCCGGGCAGTGTTGATGAGAAGAGGGAAGACAGAAGTAGCGTGAAGAAGGAATCATTCTCCCCCATTTCCATCAGTGTCTTGTCATCTCGAGAAACCTTCAAACCTGCCCTCAAGAGAGTCCTTTTAGGGTGTCTTATCTTTTGTCCCTGTCATCGTGTGTCTGTTTTTTTTATTAGGTGATACAAATAGAGGAGAATAAAACATCCCATTTTGTCAATGTGGTGCATTTCATGATGGGTGGAAATAGAGAGAGAGAGAGAAAAGAGAAATTTGATGAATGAGGAAAAGTGAGAAAATTCTCTCGTAGAGAACTTTTCCACCTCTTTTGTACAATCCCACCATTTTCACTTATCTTATTCATCGTTATGATGAAGGACGAGAGTGTGTTAGCAATTTTTCGACCAAATATGTCGACTATCAAATTGTGACTTTCAATGTGTAGTTTTTCTTTTCTTTTTGAGTGACTCTGAAACATTTCTCACAGTTCATTAGGGAGGAAAAATCCCTCGTCATTTCTCATTCTGCTAATTTACAAAAAAACCCACCCCGGAAGTGTCTGTAAACGTCTCACTGTCTCAGTGTTATTTCCTTAGGACCGGTTTTTCCGATCCTTCATGAATATTTTGCCCCTAATTTAGTTTATCTTTGGATTTAATACACTCCTCTTCATTGTTTACCCATTCTAATCGGTGTAATTATTCTGTAGTCTGTCTCATTACTAAAGGATTTAATGCTCTATTCTAAAATGTAGATTAAATCGTCTCTTTCAGGTTGATTTTGAAATTGAGAGAGAGAGAGAGACAGAGAGAATTTTTCACTCTTCACTTTTTGTATGATCGATGCATTGAAATTCGATATAAACAAACACATTTTATTCTTGCGGGGCAATTTTGCATCACGTTGACAATAATATGACGAAAAATTTAATTGTGTATAAATTCTCGGTATGAAATAATTACATAGAAATTAAATTAAACTTTGTGGAGAATCTTTTGGTTGATTAGGTAAATTATAAATAGATAAAAAATAGGTTGTAGGCGCGCATCAATTTTATTCTTTATTAAATTTTAAGGGCAAAAAATGGCAGAAATACACTTTCTTCAATGGAAGAAATGAGTTTATCTGCAATTTTTGTATCCAAACTAATCTTCCCAATCATCAGACTTTTTTCAAAATTATATAGTGTGATTGTACATTTAGCTCAAAAATTAACTAATTATTGGTATTTGCTGCAATTCTTTTATTCCTGTGAACGTAGATTTCGATACAGACATTTTTCTATCTATCAACAAAATACTATAGCAATCCTTTAACATATCCTGCGTAATATTGTTTTTCATTTTCACGCTTCCACATGAAAATAATAAAAAAAAAAGATTGACATTTAATAAATTTGCAAGATCATCGAAATTATATGGAGAAAAAAGCACATGAGCAAAAAAAATTATAAATGTTGTAAAAATATGTGGATATTTATCGAGAATATTAGCTAAAAAGAAAATAGTTTACAAGAAGTAATGAAAAAGTATATCAATGTTGAACTGTGATTTTTGTGTTCTCAATGCAAGAAGAATAAATAAACAAGATGTAATTATTAACTGAAAGATATTCAATTGATGAAACACAATTTTTCCTCAATCAGTCCGTTAGGATTTCTTCAAGAGTGGACGAGAAGAGAGTTTAAAGCAAGATCCAAGAACAAATCCGGAAACAGTAATTCATTTAAGTATCTGTGCATTGATTTGGAAAGGGAGAATTGATATTGTTGATACCTAAAAACTATACTGATATATATATATATATATATATATAGTGAATCTAAAATGTAAATAAGGAGGAAGAATGATATATTTAAAAAATATATACTATGGTTATATGGTTATTGAAAAATATCAAGTGCGTTTCATTTTGAGGCAACCTTTCACCTTTTTTCCACACTGTTCAATTCTCGAAATTCCAACTTTGTGAACTTTTTCGATTCCAATTCAATTTCTAGGTATAAATTTGAAAGGAGAAAAAAATCAGCATGATGAATTTCAGCGTGAAGGGCGACTTGCAAATGGGTAAAATCAATTAATTTATTCAACTTTTCAACAGTGAAAGGTGATTAATGATTTTTTTTCGCCGAATCGCGAAAAGTTCCCGCTCTTCTTTTACGCGCTTGCTGAGGTTGTTGATGGTTAATTACTTAGAATTCGATTGAATATCCTTTGTGTGGAAATTGGCTAGAATCTGTAGAAAAGAGGTGGTTAATTACTCGTCTTTCGGTTCATTATGATGATGAGTAATTTAAGATCACTGAAATAATTCATGGAGAATTTTTCCTCCTTGAGAGTTCAGTGATTATTATTATTATTATTATTATTGGATTCTGGGAAATTTAATCACACTTTCGCGGTTGTGTTTAATCGCCGAATCTTTGCTTCCTGTTCAACACAATAGCACAACTATCAGCAATTTTATGTGATGAACTGATAAATAGGAAACATCAGGTTTTCTTTCAGTCCTGAGAGTCTTTGAACTATAGATTTCTTGTCTTGGGAAGCAGGAAGCGCGGAGCAATGGAGAAATAGCGTGAAAAGCGAAGACAGTGAAAATTAATAAGGCAGGAATGAGGGAAATTATTTCAATTGTGGAGGTTGTTTAGTGATTTGTGGGGTGGCATAAGGGAGCCGTAATCAATTTGCGAATATTTAGATTGTGCATGGTTCGATGAATAAGACACCATTCTTGTTCTGTCTTATTAAATTTCCCCCCTCAGAATCAATATTGTCTCTTTATTTATGCCTTAGTCTTCGTCAGGGCTAAAATGAGAAATTTTCGATTTATATTGAATGTCTCTGCATAAATTATTGAATTCCATAACAGGGTCAATGAGTTTGTCAAATACGCAATCATTTATTGGGGAAAATTTTGCGCACAATTTTATTTTCATCACTCCAGAAATATCCTTACATGTGTTTTGGCTAAAAATAAAAGCATTTGTGGGTGAAAATTGCATGTGCATCCAATTTTATAATCATCCTTCGTGCACATCCAATTGAGTCTTCTCTAAAGGACTCTGGAGATTCCGTCTCTCGTGTAATTGTTCCACGCGACTCTTCTCCGAATCACGTTTATCGCATTGCTTCCATTTTGACCCCATCATAATCAATTTGTCGTGCAATTGGAAGTCCTAATCACAGATACGACAAATACCCATTTACTTTCTGCTGATACGAACACATCTCCCCGGCAGTTAAGTCCTTTGTGCTCCTCTCGACGTATTGTGGCAATAAAAAAGTTGGGTAATGAATCCATCCTCGTTCAGCGAAATGACACGTGTTATTTCCACGATTGCACTTGAGAAAGTCAATTGATGGGAATTATAAAAGCTCTGCCACACTGCTTATTTCGCGGTTCTTGACCTTTTTCACCTGGTGAATAATTAATTTTCAACTGAGAGCGCGCGCTGAAGGTGAGAGGCTTTCTTTGAAATCACTGATGGCGGCCTTTTGAAATCCCAATATAGCATCAATCCTATAATCAAGATCGCGCCGTGCAAAGGAAAATTTTTTTTCATGATTGCCATTTAAGCAATTTTCCGTTCAAATAAACAATTTTTTTCTTCAGTAGCTCAAAGGGAAATGGGAACAAAGACATTCAAAAGGCAAAAGATACACCCAAAAGTTCTGTGAGGATAAAGTTTTTGGCAAGAAATTAGCATAAGCAGCGATGAGAGTTCGGCTCATTAATTGCTCCTTCCACAACACTGGGTGTCGGCGATAAAGTTAAAACCACCCTTCGTGATGACGGAATCTTAGTGGCTCGATAATACAATCATCCCTGCCAAATTGGCGTCGTTGGGGTGAAAGTTTCAGTTTGTCTTTGGCGAGTGTTGTTCGCCACGGAACAACAACGCACACATCGGCATGGTGAATCCCTCTTGCAGGTGAAATTGATGAACGCACTAGTAAACAAGGGAAAATTCCTCGAAAGCCAAAACAGTCTGAGGTGAAAGAGGAGATTTTAAGTCAGAAGGTGTGGGAGTGCCGAGGACATCTCCCAAAAGGTCTAGGTCGTGAAGATACGCGTAGAGTGGAATCAATAAAGAATAACCACAATTTACATTTAATACCATCTCCAAATGAAATGTTTTTCTTTTTTTTCCCCCTACAATGTCGAGATCCTTGCGTAAATAGGACAAAATTGACGATTGAACTCCGAAGATGCTCAATATTTTCATTTTCTTCTTGTTTACTTTCTCATGTGATGATTTCTGCAGAATCTCTTAAGAGTGATTTTCCTCAAACTTTGAAGCAACTTCTCAACTTTTGCCGAGAGATGATTTTGTGTGAGAAGTGAGGAAAAGCAAGGGTTCTTGGTTTTATATTAAATTATCTTCAATTGCTTATTGGTTATTGAATGAACGGAGAATCATTTTGTCTAACAAATCAATTACGATTAGTTATTAATCTTGAGAAGAGTTTCATGGAACTTTAGAGACTATTTTGAAAGAAGTTTTGCAATAAAATTAACCTTTCGCATTAAATTTGGCAAAAGTGGAGTGACAAGAAGCTTTGCAGCGTCATGGTTTCTTGTGAGGTGGGAAATTTGCGTGCGTGTATGTGATGATATGGAAAAACCGCTGTTAAAACCCATAAGAAAATGATAAGGACAGAGACAGAGCGTCATCCGATGTGGCTCAACTCCTTCCAAAACATTATATGTTGTCACCTTTTCTTCTCCGACAAAACCACCCCCGAGGGATGGATGTGCCTTCGTCGTGTTCCACGTGTTCCCCACACGTGTTGGGGCATCTCAAGAGAGACGGAATCATTCATAATGCGCGGATTACGACACAGTATGGTGAATAGGAGGTGAGCAACATTTCCCGCGAGCTGCACATGATGATTGAATGACGATGATCTGGGAGTTTGTGGGCGTTCACGTCGCACTCCTCGCGGGATTTTATCCGAACATGAGAGACATGGCCATAAACAAGATGTGTGTCGGCATACAAATTCGCAGGCACACGTCGCTTGCTTTTAAGGAGCCACGCGGGGAAGTCACGGCGAATCACATGTCGCCAGACAATGCGGAGGAGTCCCAAAACGAGATTGTGTCGCTGTGGAGAGACAATCACGGGATTGACACGTTTCCGGGATTACAGCAGCGGCACGAGAGCTTTTTTGCGCGATTAAACCCGATCATTCAACACGGGGTTGACCGGGATTGATTTCCACTTGTGCCACTCAATGTTTGCTCTATCGAGCTCTATCCACACTTTCACCCTCGCACACACACCTGAAAGGGGGGCGCTTTTTCATGGTCGCCGGCGCGTTTCGCGATGATATTAATCATACACGTGCTGTCAACCCATGACCTTTGCCATCGGCAGACATTGGGGTGCTTCCGCGTGTGAGATGGATACAATTCCGCGTTAGACGCGCTGTGGCTTCCTCAAGCACTCCTCAATAGAGCACCTGTGGCGCCGAGGTAAACATTCTCACCACTTCTCGTGCTCCCAGATATCGCAAATGATGACTTTTATCTGTCCAGAATTCACATAAATATTTGCGGTGTCATTGAAAGTTAATATAAAGTTATCATGATGTACGCTTTTCCATTGTGACAAATCTCAAGAATTGTTGTCACAAAAGTTCGAAGAAAATTGCTGATTTCACGGGATGAAAATATTACAAATATTAAGTTATTAAAGCGAACAAAATGCTCATGAATTTCTCAGCTATAAAAATTCAACTGCTTTTGCAGTTTTGTACTATTTATGATTTATGAAGATCAAAGTTGATTTTCTCGAGTCAATATGTCGTGAAACTGAAGCCATTTCTCAGCATCTTTGGGATTTGCGGGTGTGTTTTGAATCAGACATATTTATTTAACACAAGAATCTTTAAAGGTTGATTTTTGAATATAAGAACGCTGAGGGCAAAATTCACTATTGAGTTGAAAAGAAACCCGTCAAACGTACGTACATTATTTCCAAATATCCTTTCATCATCCCAAAAAAGGTGTTTTACATTAATACAAAACGCGCCCAAAGTTGAAGTGATTTATTCTGAACAGTTTTCCTCTCATCCAATCAGTCAATTACCCCTTGTTAACCCCATGCATTAAGATCAGCGTTAGCCATTTAAGTCGCGATTGAAATTTTCCGTTCGGTTGGTAAGGAGTTACTGAACTCATTATATTTTTCACACGCGGAAAAAAATCTCCCTCGAGGGTGGAAATTGTGCGGCAAGAAGCGCCCTCAAGAGAGAGAGCGAAATCTGGAGAGCTTTTTTCCACTCTTCCTCCACAAAAATGTTAACATGTAATTTGGCGTGGTGTGGCAGAAAAGGCTCCGGCGAAAGTGTTCGAGTCTCGTCGTGCTCGTGCGTCTCTCCAGCATCCCTCGCACAAGCGATGTGGAAGTATAAATGGAGCGTCTCGACGCCAATACTCATCACTCGTCTCTCGACTCTTCACTGTGAAAACTCACAACGCGCAACACTTTGCTCGAAAATTTCACTTCACCTCTCGCGCGACTCTCTCGCTTCTTTTTCCCCGGCTGTGGAGGCGCTTTTCAACGCTCTTCATCCCTCTTGAGCTTTTGTCCGCTGAGAAAACGGTGCTGAGTGTCGCAATTGAGTGTTTATAATCTTTATGAGTACATAAGCACAAATATTTGAGAGTAACTTTTACGCGCGCAAGAAAGTGTACCTCGTTGACTGCAAATTGAAAGAAAATATTGAAAATTGTGAGTCTGAAAGTGTAAACACGAGTGCCGAAGACAACAATTAATTAGAAACTTCAGCCAGAGCTTTTTGCACCATCGTAAGTGATTTACAATTTTCTTCCAATTCGCCACATTTTTTCCATTTAATTACTCCTGTAAATTCACGTCTTGTGCAAGAAAAAAGTCGGTGATGTCGTCGTCTATATAAGGCGATCCTGTGTGCAAAGTGTTTTTATGATTATGGGAAAAGAAGACACTATTTCCACTACACGACATGCAAATTGGATGTCTCTTTCGCGATGGAAAGTGAACTGTCGCTGTATTTTGCATAATTTTCCATGTGACTGCAGACTCTGCAGACGCTGACTTTAATCCTCCTCCGCCACCTGAAAGTACTCTCAGGCACTTTGCGGTGGTCTTCAGGGCCGCTCCCTTTAATGTCAGCACTTTCCGGATGACCTACGACAAGTGGGGAGTTAGTCTTTCGTTCCCACCTTTGAACTCTTCAAGTGATACAGAAAGTTCCTTTGCCGTGGTCGCCTTTAAAGTAAACTGTCAGACGAACCCAGAATGAGAGAACCTCGAGCTTTAATCACTCTTTTTGTGCTGAAGCTTGACAAAAGTCAGTGATTTCATAAATTAATTTTCAACCATTTAAATGTTCAACAAGATATATTTCTGAGTGGGAAAACACTCACCTACATTTCTGAATGCTCTTCTGGGATTTCCAGCTGAATCAGCAGAGAGAAATGCAGAAATAATTGGTGTGTATTGATTAGGCTTCTCTCCCTGAAACTTTGTCTTCCTGGCAATTCTCAAGGAGACTGTGAAATGCCACGAAAGGAGTTTAGTTTGTAGACAATTTTCTGAGAACATACAAATTACCCACATTCCTCCGGAATCAACGTGATATTCATGAACAAGAGCAAAGAGTAGATCATTTATTAAGTTTACATTAGTTCATACGAAGCAAGGGGGAGATAATATGGCTTAAATCTGTACATCGATTCCTGACACTTCTGGAAACTTGAAATTTTTAGACCGTTTTCACATTAATTCCCTAATTATAATGAATTTCTTAAGTTTTCATCCGATAATTCTGCAAGAATCCATTTCAAAACGCTTCTTTGGCCATCTTATCTGACCATAACCTCAAAATATAACTAGGAGATCTTCAAAAACTCTGTTTGGAAGCTTTCTAGATCACAAAATTATCTGGATTCAGAGTGAAAATCATGCAGAAATTTTTCTAAATGAGGTTTTCCAAGTATAAATGTCTATTTTTGAGGTTATGTTCCACTTCAATACAATTTACAGTGTTTCTTGGTATCAAAGGGTCAGAATAGAGAAGTTTTTTGGCATGTAAATGCTTAATTTTGCCAATCACTAGACGATCCATTAAACTTGAGCATAAGAATGGATATGCTAGAATGCGAATTATTCATTTAATCTGCCCTTTAATCGTTACATAACCTAGAAAAAAGTTTTTAAGATTAAATTTGTGTGAAAATCGGATGAGATTAAAAGAATTGGGATGATTTGTCAGTAAAATCAACATTGAGGAAAGGAATATTGCAAGTTTCTGAACACTTTCGTTCGTATTATCTCTCCCTTGATATGAGGTTTGACCTTTACCAATAATTTAACTAAACCCACGAATTGCTACCCAAAATGTGGTATTTAAAGCATATTAATTTAGAGAATTAAATTAATTTGTTCAGTACTGATCAATCTATAAATTGCCAATTAGGTGAAAATATGTGTTGCGTGCATATTGACGCTCAAAATATCGCATGGAAGGCAAAATATGTTAAGTTTCCTAATTTACCTTAATTGCACACTCGCAGTGAACTTTATGATTGGCAAAAGGTCGAAGCTTGCATCTCTTTGAGGCGGTTGTCGAAGGCTTCCTCACTTTTTTACTGCCTTTACTGCTCCTGTGCGGCAGTTAATGAAGACCCTGGCACGGAAAGCGGAAGGTTAGAGTGCAGGTAAACTCACACTATCGCCAACACTGTGATTTTTATTGTGTGTGGACGCTGGATTTCACCTGGAGGGCAGACATCACAACAATTTGTCGAGATGAGGATGAGGGTGAACCTCTCAAAATAGATCGATTTTGCCCACTTAAGGCAAGAGCAAATCGAGACTTTTCTTCTTTCACTCTTCTTGATCGTTCGCTGTGCTAAAAATAGTCAATGAATTTTCGGATAAATTAAATTGACTTCGTGGCAATAATTCTCCCTTGACCCACTCTCACTCTCGTTGGTTATCCATCTTTGGGCTCTGGCAGAGTTTTCCCATGAAGCTCTTGTGGAAAACATGCACGTCGAAATATTACTCTAATGATTTTCCGCACACACTGGCTTCGTGCGATGATTTTCCCAGGAAAAGACGTGGACAGGGTGTGATGCTCTGCTAAATCGTTGTCAAAGTCTTCGTTAAAGAGAATTTCTACATCAATATGTCTTCTATTTGCGACACATTAGTCAGAAAATATGATTTTCACACAATAAATCACATCCTAACCAGGTCAAAGTGTGCTATTCTCTCATCTTATGTGTCTTAAGTGGGAGAAGGCAATTAACAACCCACCCAATTGAGTGATTGAGAGATTTTTGGATGGCGTCAGGTGCGAAAGCACAACAATTTCTCTAACCGTCTGACTTCACATAATAGTATTATTTGGTCACGTTTCTTATGTTTCGGTCCTCAATGAACAGCTTCGCCAGACTCAATCTTGGAGCTCAGAATCTGACCCATTCACTCTCTCATCCGCACTCTTGCTATTTTTCAAGGTGATCCCCAGAGATAAATCGGCGTACGAGGTGGAAAAAAGGGTGTCAATAATGGGGTTGAAGGAAAAGCCTTTTTCCTTATGCCAACAAAGTGGGAGAGAAATCTCATATATGGATTTTATTGGTGATTTAAAGAAGATGATTCCGTGTCTGTTCTTCCCTTTTATACATCATATTTCATCTCACTGATTTTCCGTCTCTCCCTTTTATACCGAATCTTGTCTCATTTTCCTCTTGAGCACACGGGCTGGGGCTTCGGGGGGAGTCAAAACACAATTTATTCACCTTTTTGATCTACCCATTGGGGAATTTTCGGTGCACGTGTTGCTTTCCCCACACTTTATTTTCGCGTAAATTCGCCTAATTCTAAATATTTTCGCAAATTCCCCGTGAAATGTTAATTGAGTGTGTTTTCAGGGTGTTAAGGAAGGTGTAAAACGGGGAAACACGTCTTTATCCGTGAGAATTTGTGCTGTGAAATTTGCGCAATTATAGAAAGCAAAGTCAAATATTGAATAATTTGCTCTTATTGACTCGGAAAACACTCGTGTGATTGTCCAAAGATGACCTGTTCTTCCCAATTCATGTCCGCACGTGGAAATTTCTTAGTTATTCAAGTAATTAACATTCCATCCTTTTCCCCTTTTACTCAACTTTCTTTGCCCCTTTTTCTCATTATATCTTCCAAGTTGGTAAATTGAATAGTCCTGTGCAAAGCTCTCGTCTGGATGCAATAAAGCACAAACTTCACTAATGCAGCATAAATCACAGTTGCGCCATCAAAATTGCATTCGAAAAATCCTTCAACTTTAATTACCTCATTGCAGCACGCCTTTGTTCGCCGAATTTCCTGACACGATAATTAAATTACGCAATTTCTCGAACACAATTTACATTTGATTACACATTTTGGAGATGCAGTGAAACCTCGAGAGTTTAGACATTTCAAAGGAAGCTTTTGAGGAAATGTGAGGATGTGTTTTTTCAGGGGTGAGTTTTGAATTTCACCCGCTTTGATAGCGTGAGACAAAACAAATAGAGCATCAGAGAAATGGTGAGGAATTGTTTGCTGAAGGAATTTTCGCATTTTTCTTCACCCTCTCACTTTACACACAGTTCGTGTCTTAATTAAAAACGGAAGTTCATTAGGAGTGGAGATTCAGGATGAAATCATCATTGAATTTTGCAAGGCGTGGACACAATTGTGCTTGCATAGACGCCGGGAAATTTCGCAACGTGAAAAGAGAGAAAAAAAAGCACGATGATGAAATATAAGAAGAGCTTTTCTTCTGTGTATTTAGAGAAATTTTTTACGCTTCAACACTCAGTCTTATGTGTCGCCATTTCCTCGTGTCAACTTGCGGCTTCTTCCCCTGGCACGGGGAGCGAACGAGAGAGAGTGAATGCTCTCAAGAGCACGATTATTGTGTGTCAGTGGAAATGAATAAGGCAAGCTTTTCCTGCGGGTGGGAGGAAAGTTTCTATGCTAATTTAACTTTCCTCGCACCACAAAGTCAATTTCTTCAGCGTGCTTCTCCTCAATTCCACGGGATATTTTGATGTCTCAGCAGGAGGGGCGCAAGAGGGGGAGGAAGGGAGGAAAATAAAGATGCGGTGATCTTATATTGAAGAGAATTCATTGATTTTATGGCAAGTGCGCCGGATTTGCGAGACAGAATTCCGGGAAGAGCCGCAGCGGGAGTGGCACAGGATCAGGGCAGGACTGCGTGAAAAGCATCACACAAGATTACATCTTCTGTCCTCCACAGATTCCTTCTTCAGCCTGTCAATTTGAATTTAATCACACGATCCGGGATTAATTGGCCCCTGAAATCCCAAGTGATTGTTAGTGAACACGAAAAGTAGCGATATTTTAATTAACAAAACCTTGTTTCTGGGTGAAAATTAAAATAAGATTCTAGTATATCGGTTTAAAGGACAGATTTTGATGGATATTCAAGTGCAAAAGACATTTTTGCAACTGAATGTCTCACTTTATATCACAATATGATTAATTGTCTCGTGTCCTTTTTGGGGTGTTTAAGAGGAAAAACATCAGGGTCCAGCAGCTGGACACATTTCAGCGGCAAAACCGCTAAATGAGCTCTGAAAGCCAGACTTTGGGATTGTCAGAGAGGCAAAGGAGCGTGATTAAAGTGTCATGAAGGGACAAATAGCATCGTGAAAATCCCTCTCCGAAGCTCTTCACACATCAATTAATCTCGGGTGTGGTTTGGTTGAAGTTTCACTGAAATTTCCATTATTTTCCTTCTGCACAGCGAAGGCAGCTAATCCTCGAT